CTTAGTCGCACCTTGGATACGTTCGTCGTGCTTGTTGCTCCTGTCGCGACGACGTTTCGACTCTGAACTGTACGAGAACCAAGGATACTACAGCAGTCGTCATGTCGGATATATTGTAAGCAATGTTGTGTCGGATCCAGCCTTGCGAAGCTGCAAAACGTGTGCGTGCAGGGACTGTATCTTCCATACTACAACCTTTCGATCACTAAGTTACCACCAACCACTGAGCTGTAGGTCCTCTCCTCGAACGGATCTGATACTGGCACCGTCCACCAGTTTAGTGATCACTGTAGACCGGAAGGACGCCCTTCATTCTTGCTTGCCAGTCAACTATTTCTAGTGGCAACGGCGTTTGCTTGTGGTCAACACTCAAAGCACGCGTGCCACTGCATTTACCACACTCACGCTTACGAGACGGCGTACATTAGAGCAGCGTTACAACGACTACGCGCCTCTCGTTTCAAACAAACGCACTGGTTTGTACTATGCACACTAGCCGAGATGGCCTATTGACGGCGCGCGGACGTGACACCGTTGACGCCCTTCTGGCCATTCATCGCCGACTTGATGTAGCACCGGTTCTCAAAGATCGAGTACCCGCCGCAGTTGGACGTCGCGAGGCACTTGGCGCAGCACTGCGTAATGAGAGAGGCCATGTCGCCCGAAATGCCAAAGCTGAAGAGGTCGTTGCCAGGGTAGTCGGTGTTCCACTCGGGCGCCGAGCACGATCCTTGAGCCGGCGGCGGCGGCGGTTGCGTCGGCTTGGGCGCGGTGCCAAAGTCAAACTTCCACTGCGCGTTCGAATTCGCGAGACCAAACTGCTTTTCGTAGTCGGGCCACTTGCCCGGGTTGTCGTGGAACATAAAGTACATGACGTCTTCGCCGCCGTTGCCCGCGCTCACCCACGAACGCACCTTGTTGAAGTAGTTGACGGCGTTGTCGAACGACGCGACTTGACTGCCGTAGTTGCCGCCACCAAACGGCCACCCGGTCTCCGTGATCATGAGCTTGCTTTTGCCGTACTTCTTGACCATGGCGTTCCACCGGTCCGCAAGCGAGCCGCCAAAGAACTCGTAAATGTTGACACCAACGATATCACACGCGTTGTAGAGGTCCTGGGCGCCGAGCCAGGCGCCGTCGGTCTGCACCGACCCGACGCGGACGTTGACGCCCGCCGCCCGGAGCCGGTTGCGGACATCGTTGACCTTGTCGATGACCTGCCACTGGCTCCAGCCGTTGTCAATGTCTTCGTTGCCCACAAAGACGGCCTTGACCGCGTTCGGGTGGCGCTTGTAGCCGTCGATGACGGCCTGGACGTCCTTGTCGTAGTCGGAGCCGCGGATCCAAATCCCGGCGTAGATACCGAGACCGTGGTCGCTCGCAGCGTCAATCACGTTGCGGCTGTCGCTGTAGATGTACGTCTGGAAGGTCCGGACGGTCGAGAAGCGCTGGCGCATCACGTCGAAGTGGTGGTCGATGTTCTTGAAGTCGTACGTGTCGTAGCAGGCGCCCATGGCTGCGACCGACGCGATCGTCGTCGCAAGGAAGCTCAAGATCGCTCGCATGAGGTCGAGTGCAAATTGAAAAGTGAGAATTGATGTCGAGTTGAGCTGTTGGCAAGGGGGCATCTGAGTTTGCCGTGATGGATCCAGAGGCCAAGGAATCTCATCAGAATCAACGACGTTACCACATCGTACCCAAAGCCTCAACTACAATTTCGGTTGTACAATGCAACGGCATCAGAGTAGCATTGCATGGTGGAAATAGGAAGCATGGACTTGTTGTCGTTTATCGTCGTCGTCGGTCGTCAAATATGTGCTGCCGCCCGTCGGCGACCTCCTCGCCGTGCAGGACCGTGCGGCCTCGCACGCGACATCACTGACGATAGCAATGTGATCCCAGCATGAATCCATTGCCCCTCAGGAGTGCACGCGTGTCATTTTCAATGTCGTATTCTAGACTGCCTTTGCTTTGTTGGATTCGTAGTACCAGTGCCGCGTTTCGAACCCTGTCCCACGCATCGTTCCATGCAGCAATCCGTGTGTGCTGTCTGATTCGCCGCCGCAGCCATCGACTCGGTGGGCTGTGTCAGAACACCGAGGCAATGATGCCGGGCTGGCTCAGATTCAAGCGCTTACAACGTGCGGCAACGTGCGTGCATGACGCAGCGCAAGGCGACGCAGAAATCAAACGTGTGGCCTTCGGAACCCTTCTCAGGCGCCACGCGTTGAATGACCAGTATTTTAGGTACTCAGGCAGTGCCTGCCTTACACTCCGGCTCCGGTGGTGGCTTCCGTGACACGCAAGAGAGCTCATATCCTATTTATGTTGGATTCTTGCCAAGTACACAAGCATGTTGGCGCCCAACGCTAGTACACCCCGCCATAGAATGAACACCACCATATTCCAGACTCACGCATTGTAGTAGGAGCGCCTCCCCGTTCAGTCGCCATTGCCATCAGGTAAGCTCCGAGCGCATCGCAGCGTGCCCCGGGGCAAGCGAAAAACAATCGCTGCAGTCAGCACCGTCCCAAACTTTGCACCACGGTGTACAGGACTTTGAGATTGCTCTAGTTCTCGATGTGCTCCTGCAATGACGACGACGGGACAAGCACCCGGGCATCATCGGGTCAAACCAACTTCAACACAAAGGTAGTCGCCAAGCCAAATGTTTGAAATAGTGTTAGTTTGTCTGGCTGCACCCAACTGGCAGAGGCCTTTCTGAGCAAAGACGAAGCATGCAAGCCTTCTTGGACGACTTTGCGACGCTGCCACTGGACGAGTATGCGCTGCTGCCGACCGACTCGCTCCTCTTAGAGGACGTCGACGCCTTCTTCGCGCCGGCCACGACATCATCGCCGGCCTCAAGCGACCACTGCACTACGAGCGACGCTGGTTCCGAAGACCTGCCGCCGCCGCCGGCCAAGAAGATCAACGTGAGCCGCAAGCGCCAGCGCGACGAGATCGACTACCTGCGCGCCAAGGTGGTCGAGCTTGAGTCGCAGCTCTCGACGCTGCAAGCTGCCGAGGCCCCGCTCGTGGCGGCGTCTCCGTGGCAGGCTCTGGCGCAGCAGGTTCGCCTCGAGAAGGATGCTGCGATCAGCGAGCGCGAGCAGCTCAAGCACGAGCTCGCCGACCAAATTGAGTTTGGCAAGACGCTCGAAGCGCTCCTGATGAAGCGGCCAAAGCTCGCGGTGCTACCACAGCTCGACGCCGACCAGTGGAAGCTGTACCGCCTCGTACAAGACCCGGCGCTGCGGCGCGAGGCCGTCGCCAACATCCTCGCGCACCAGTACGACGCGCTATCAAGTGCACTCATCGAGTCGAACCTGCTCGAGCAAGAAGACGATCTCACGGCCTTTGCGCCGTGCTTGGCCAAGCACTTTGACGACCAGCTCATCACGACCGCAACGTACTGCAAAACACTCGAGCACGACATGCATACGGTTGCTCGCATGGTGTGGCTGCTCCTCTCGGCAGGCTGCAGCCTCCACCGTAAAAATTTCCAGGTGCATTTTCACTCTTTTACTTCACCAAAAACAAACTTGGGTGTTTTTAGCGCCTCGAAAAGTTTGACGATGACACGATTTACATTGCGAACGAAGGCCGCTACGAGTCCCTCCTCAACCAGACGCGCCTCCTCATAAAGCGCTACATCGAAGCGGACCGCATCGTGTTTGTTGTACGGTACGGAACCTCCCCATGTCACGTTGGAAGCTTAAGCCTAAGGCTGGTGTAGCACGATTCTCGAAGACGAACTCAATCCGCACGCACCGGACGCGCTTGTCAACCACAAGAGCGCATGGTAGGCACGTGGTTTCCAGTGCGCGCGTTGCCAGTTCCCATTAGGTTTGTGGTCGAGCATATTGCAATGCAGCCCCAGAAGTGTCGGATCAAGTATTTTCAAAAAATGGCTCTTCCGATGGTGCAGTCCGAGACGCTTCTGACGCACCCCAAGTTCTCGGACGTCAACTCGCCCTACTACCGCATTGGCAACTTCACCGACGCGGCCATGATGGCGCTGCGCGAAATGGTCGGCGAGTTCAACTCGCAGCTCGAGCTCCTCCTTCAGCGCGCCGAGTAAACAAGTGGGATAATCGATAGATGCATAATACATGTACCTGCCACGTGTCGACTGGACGAGGGCTCAATGCCGCACTGCGCATTGGGTTTGGTCGCGCGCCGCCAGGTCCTATACTGTGATGCAGAGAATCATATTCTTGTGTTGCGGGGCCGCCGAGTAATGACCATTGTCGATGTCCAACTGCTTGCGTGGGCCGTCGTCGCTGCCGCTTAGGAGTCGGCGGTGCATGGGCGAGTACGCCATGGCGCTGAGCCCGGTTCTTGGACCCTAACCCTACGGTAACCCTACCCCTAAGCAAGAGCGGCCCCATGCAAGACGTGCAGGTCGTACGGATCCCAGCAGCGGAGCGTATTATCGAGCGACGCATAGAAGACCGTGGCTGCCGATGTGTGGACATAGGACGCCTCGTCGGGGACGTTCGCAACAGCGGTCAAGACGGCGTCCGTATGCGCTACGCATTCGATGCTCGTGGTGTCGCGCAAAATTCGAAACTTGGCCGTGGATGACGCGCCTTGCACCATGGGGTAGCCACCGCTCGAGGTAACATTTATCTGTCAAGCGTCATTGAGCCAAGTACTTACCATTCTGCCGCCCCTAGTCCTTCGCATGGCTTGAGCACCTTTTACGTGCTTTGCGTTATATTTGTTGTTACAAAGGCTCGCATAGGTGAACTAGCAATCTCCTTCTTCATTCGTTCGCCGGGCCGTGGCTGCGCAGGCGGCGGCGCGGGGGTTCATCTTGCTCTTCTATGGCCGCCCTAGGACGCTTGCAGCCGCGGGTTGCAAGGGACATATCTAGTTACAATCGTCACAAGGGAAGCAGTCCAACGCGGCAACGGCGTTGATCAAGAGGCCCGACACGGGCGCGCAATTCCCTGAGGCAGGATCAACCCCCCCATGAAACTCAAACTGCCTGCCAAATTCATGCCCAAGGCTTACAACATCACCAAACAACCGACGTATGCTTCCTACGCCTCCTTTTTCTTCGTGTCGTGCGGGCGGTAGGCGGCCACGTAGATTCCTTCGTACACGAGCGTGGGAAAGTACGTCACGTGAGTGTACTCGTAGCGGACCATCTTGAGCGACCCCTCGTCTTCGAGCGCAAACAGCGTCGCTTGCTCCTTGGCCAGCCCGTGCGCCAGCACTTGGAGAAGCGAGCCAAAGTACCCGTAGCAGTACAGCGTCAGAAGTGGCTGGCGCGTCCAAATACCGAGCGACCGGCCGACGAGTCCGCCAAACAAAACGGTGGGCAGCGTGGGGTAGGGCAGCGCGGCCAAGAGCACCAAGACGATGCAAAAGCCAATCGTATAGGGCACCCCAACGTCAATCGGCGCGGGAGGCAGCGACTCGAGGTACGTCCAGCCAGCGTACAAGAGCCCAAGAAAGATCGCGACCTGCACCGCCGCGCCGAGACGCGTGTACCCCGGCACACAGGCGCCCGACGAGATCGCAACAATGACGTACAGCACCAGCGGCACCAGCATTAACGCCGTTGGCTGCTGGAGAAGCAATGGCGCAGCAGCGTACGCCGCTAAAATGCTCGCGACCGCAGCCACGTTGCACCAGAGCGGCGCGGTCGTCGCGCCAAGCACCAAATAGACCGACCAGAGCAGCGCCGTCGCCAGCGAGAACGGACGCGCGCTCGAGCCAAACAATGTCTCGTCCAACAGCGTAAGAAAGCAAAAGTTGCCCGAGAGCTGCACGAGGAGGCACACAAAGTGCAGCGCGAGGTTGGCGCGCGTGGCGTGGTGGGGTGCAAAGTGAGCGACGGCCACGGGGTAGGTGTCGCCGACGAGGCGGTTGAGCAGCGGCTTCCATGGGAAGCTGTAGAACTGCGGGCTCGCAAACAGCAGCACTTGATACAAGAGTGGGGGCTGCGTCGTCGGCGTTGGCGACGCCGCGGGGGCGGTCTTGGACAGAGTCGGGGGCATCATAGTCGCGCAAGAGTACAAGTGAGTTCTTGTTGGCAAAGAGCCAAGTCGAAAACCAACGGCCACAAGGCAATACAAACGCCAAGGTTTCTCGGGACGCGACGGTGGGATGGTTCGCAAGGTGCGTGTGGGACGCAGCCGTGGACGCGCTAGTTGCTGTTCGAAACCAAGAACAAGCAATGCCTACTCGCATCGGCTTGTTCTTGTGGAAGCAGCTAACACTAAGACGACCAGAGAGGCGAGGTGCTTTTGGCACATCAAAGCGAGGTCCGTTGTGATATTTAGCCGGATACGACATTCGTATCCGGTAGTTCTTGGACGAGGCATTGTGCACGCTGTAGGCCTCCAACGCCGACGCGACGCAGTGTTTAGAGCCCCCAAAGTGTCCTTTAGCTATGTGCCAAATATGAGCGAATTCGTTTTCAATCGTGATATGGCCATCAACTTGCCGTGCGCGGGCTGCATCGGCTCCAGGCTGCGTTTCAAACGAAATGATTGGTCAAAAAGATTGAAAATGGAGGCAAAAAGCTCAAATATTGACCAATCCACGATGCTCCCGCCCCTTCGTCGGCCAAAGCTGCTGCGACCATTGCACATGTACGACCACCGACACATTTCTTGTACTAGTAGCTTTGACGGAGGAATATAGACAACCTAAATAGCAAATGATGTTTCTATATGTGCTAGTATTTGATGATAGACCACCTCAGAAAGTTACCGCATCGTTCATCAATGCCTGCCCTTCGAATGCCGAGCTGGCAAGACCATCAAACCATTATTTTGCTTACGAACACAAATCCACTTTGAGTAAATCGCGCGGAAATGCGCTACGCAGCCTTCTTCGTATGGCGCGGGCGATTCGCTGCCTTGTAGATCCCTTCAAAGAGCAACGTCGGAAAGTACGTCACGTGGGCGTACTCGTAGCGGACCTTCTTCATCGACTCTTCGTCTTCGAGCGCCAAGAGCGTCGCTTGCTCGTTTACAAGGCGGTGCGCGATGCCTTGCAGAAGCGCGCCAAAGTACCCGTAGCAGTATAACGTCAGGAGTGGCCGGCGGGTCCAAAGACCGAGCGACCGGCCGACAAGCGCGCCAAAGACGACCGTGGGGACAGCGGGATTCGGCAGCGCGGCCAAGAGCACCAAGACGCTACCAAAGCCAATCGTCGACGGTGCCACGACGTCGATCGGCGCGGGTGGCAGTGACGCGAGGTACGTCCATCCACTCTGCACCACCGCCAACAAGAGCGTTGCGAGAACGGCGGGCACAACACGTGGCAGTCCACGTGCCAAGAATGCATACGAAAGCGCAACAATGACGTACAGCACCAGCGGCACCAGCACCAACGCCGTCGGCTGCTGGAGAAGCAATGGCGCAGCAGCGTACGCCGCTAAAATGCTCGCAACCGCAGCCACGTTGCACCAGAGCGGTGCGGTCGTCGCGCCAAGCACCAAATAGACCGACCAGAGCAGCGCCGTCGCCAGCGAGAACGGACGCGCGCTCGAGCCAAACAATGTCTCGTCCAACAGCGTAAGAAAGCAAAAGTTGCCCGAGAGCTGCACGAGGAGGCACACAAAGTGCAGCGCGAGGTTGGCGCGCGTGGCGTGGTGGGGTGCAAAGTGAGCGACGGCCACGGGGTAGGTGTCGCCGACGAGGCGGTTGAGCAGCGGCTTCCACGGGAAGCTGTAGAACTGCGGGCTCGCAAACAGCAGCACTTG